TTGTAGCAGAAGGCAGGACAGGGGTGAGGGGTAGCCCCCCAGTGGCCAGCCCCACAGGATCACAGAATGTAGAGCAGGCCCTAGACATGACCTGTCACAGCCCCCTCAGGCCACACTGTGGACACTGAGCTCAAGTCCCTTAAAGAGCCCCTGTAGGTACAGAGCCTGTCAGTGTCATGCATACCACACAGAGCACACTGTGAACACGTGTACATTGTGTGCCTATGAAGGCACTGCACAAGTATAGATGCATACATGTGTGCATATGCACAGGAGCAGGTACATGTGAGTACACGTGAGCCAGCAGAGCATGCATACACACAGATGTAGTTCACACACATACACACGTGCCCACATGGGCATGTATGCACATGCACATGCAGACGCCTGAACATATACCCAGATGCAGTCCACACATACATGCATGTTCCTGTACATTTATACCTGCAGGCACATGTGCACACTTATGTGACCATGAGCATGCACGAACACATTAGCACACTTACAGACATATGAGCCTGTGAGTGCATGTCTGCCCACACCCTCCACAGTGTGCTTTGCTCCTGGCTGGAGGGCACATGGGGACTCTGCAGACCAGAGGGTGTCCCACAACAGCCAGGGAACAGGGATGCGGTGCAGTTCAAGCTGAGCCACCACTTGGCCCCTAGGGCAGAAGCCCTAAGAGCTTGCTGGGTGCAATCTCCAGCACAAACAGAAGGACTCTCGCCCTCACTCCTGCACCAGCCCAGTAGCAGCTCGGGGTGTGAGGCACCCTGGTGCATAGGCAGGTGGCCTTGGGCTCACCTCAGCTCCTCACTGGCCTCTTAGAGGCCCCACCCACTGCCCCTCAGTGCCTGGCTCTCAGCCCATAGCTCATCCAGGGATGGAATGGATGCCCCGCATGTGTAGGCGACTGGGTGTCAAGGCCTGCAGGAAAACCACTTTCCAAGCAGTCATGGATGTTTAGAAGCTAGATGGAAGCACAAAGGGCAGTGTCAATGATGTCTTTCCCTTGAGAAGCTGAGATCTTGTGTAACCTTGCTGCCCCGCTGAGGATGCACCCGGGCCCTTCCCATCACTCTGGCATCTGGGATTCTCACTTCAATTCTGAGCTTGTGAGCGTTAAAAGGTCTGTCCCCTGACAGCTTCTTAATGTTCACGCCGGCTGCACGGCGAGCCCTAATGGAGCAGCACACAGCACTTACCACTGGAAGTCAGAGCGTTTCCCCTGCACTGACACATGGTCTCAGGTGCTGTGTTTCTGCATGCTAATGTCTATGCATCGCAAAAATACAACGTACATCAAAATTATACACTGCTGCATACAGAACCCTGCAAGCATAGCTGTCGGTGTCTGGTAGTGTACAGTGGGTGCTTTCTGGAAGATGGTGACATCTTTTGTCACTGCTCTCCTGGAGCCCTGTGATGTTGGAAAAAGAAGGGAGGAGTGTATCAGGATTCAAGAGCCCAAAGAACTCCATGGGCACCTGGAGTTTACCCAGTGTGTGCAGTGTACTGGGCTGGAGCTCTGTGGGGGTGAAGTCTGTCCTCGCAGTGCAGAGGGCTGGTTGTTTTCAGGAGGAACGTGTGTTTAAACGACCACAGGGGTGTGTTAGGGAGCCTGGATCCCAGATTGCAATCTACCCACCCTTGAATGGAGCCTGGCCTCACTCCCTTCCCCACTACCATCCCCACGACAGCTCAGTACTGTTTCGAGAGTGTATACAGTCCAGAGCCAACTCTGCAAGAGGTAACCAGAAGTTAGGGGAGATTTATTTTGGAAATAATCAAAATAGTTTCAGCATGACACCTGAAATCATGTATCAGTCTAGAGGGAAAACATTTCTATTTTCGAGTAGGAACTGAGTTGAAATAATCCATGCATGCACATCATGTGGGAAGCATGGCTTTAGAAACTTTGGTTTGGGTTGTAGGTGTGGTGTGGGGTGGAGACTGGGTTTTGCTAAGAAATACTTTCCTTACTGCAGGATGCAGTTAATAGGGCAACAGACACTGAAACCAGAAGTTCTTTTTCTTGCACAAAATGGCACTTGGAAGTTAAAGATCTCTCCTGAGGTTTGTAGTCAAACTACTATTCTGGCAGATCTGTGAGGAACAAGCTGCAGATACAGGCACCTAGACAGCCTTCCTCCAATGTGTCAGGCAAAGAAAGCATCAGAAGATCAGATAGCCAGGGATTTGCCAAGTTATCTCACCTAGACCTGACAGCACTATGGGCAGCTGTCCTCAAGAGGCACACGATGTTCCGTGCCCAGCACCACGTTCATGGTGGCACAGCAAAAGATGCTGCGGAAAGACCTGTTCATCTGAAACAGCAAACATCACTGCAACCAATAGCCAGTGGCCAGAGACAGAATCCAGCTTCTTCTTTTCTTGGCTCCAGGAATTATGACCACCCACATGCATGTTTGTCCGTGTCAGGAAGTCAAATATGAGTATTTGAGTGAGATTCTGTCACAAGCCCTGCAGTGTCTTCAGCAGTGGTCCAGCCCTGCTCTGAATGCCCTGCCAGCACCAGGGGCAGATGTCCTGCCAGCTCTCTCTCTACAGAATGTGTTTCAGCACCCACATGGCTCCAGACATGCAAAGAGAAACTCAGGCTGCTATGCCCCATCTCTGGGAGTAGAACCTGACCCTAAAACTAAATGAAAAAATGGACGGGTCTGGAAGCTTGTGAAGAGTTGTAGTAGGGAGAGGAATATGGAGCCAGTGGGCAGGGCTTGGGTTCAGGCTGGGCAAAAGGGAGCACCCAGGGCCAGCCTTGGGTGAGGAGAGACTACAGGGGTGGACTCTTGTATTCATCCAGCCCAGAAAGCACTGCCGCAAGTGATGGACACTGCACAAGCTGGGAGGGGCGAGGGCTGCAGCCAGGAAGGATGAAAGGTGGGGAAGTCAGCTGACAAAGGCTGCAAAGTCTGAGATCACCCCGGTGACAGGTGGCATATGCGTGGAGGGTAGGGGGCGCAGGTCACCACTTCACAATCCTGAGAGTGCTGGATTGAAGAGCTGGCAGGAAGGACAGGGACAGTGGTGGACTTAGGGTGACTAGATGGGCCAACAGGTGACTGGTGTAAGGAAAAGAAAGAGACATGAGAGATAATGTGAGAGGTGCAGTTCGTACAGTTAGGATGAACATGTAGTCACCTGTGGCTCAGAAAGAAGGAATGTTCCAGGGAAATGAGGATCGGGAGTTTGGGTTTGGACAAATTAGGTTTGAGATGTGCTGTTTGTCAGGCAGAGAGAAAACACAGGCAGTGCCCTGGGAGTGCAGTGACCTGGAAGGGAACCAACTGCAGAGCACTGTGGCAACTGAGCAGAAGTCACCACACCCGACAGCCAGCCACCAGAGCAAAACACAAGGAACCCAGCATCCTCTTTTCCTGGCTCCAGGACTGCCCAAAGGCATGTTTCTCTGGGTTAGAAAGTTGAATATGAGTTTTCTTTTTCCCCTCTGCACAGCAGCAGAGGTGTCTACCACTAATCGACCTGATTGTGGTCGAGGCCAGTGCCCAGGGAGAGGAGGCAAACCCAGAAGGTCAACAGATACAGGGAGAAATCATGGACCTCCAGCAGCCCTAGCCCCAAGAAAAGCCACAGCTGGCTTAAACTGCAAAAGCACAGTGTGGTGATTTCTTCTTGGCAGGCTAGAGCTGGAGAAGAACCACAATGTAGTGCCCACCTTCCTTTTAGGGAGCATTTAGTCAGATGCTGTTTGGTGGAAGGGCTGCTAAAGACTGAGCCACAGAACAACTACAGAGCCTCCATGTCAGGGTTCTGGTATACCTCCTGCAATGGCTGGGTAGGAGACAGTTGAGGAGGGGAGTAGGCTGTATATAACCCCCTGACAACTTCAGCTCAGGCTGAGAAGGACACAGACTCCATCCTCCACTGGGAGAATCCAAGCCCCGAAAGTGTGGCTTTCAAGGTAGCTGAGTCTGAAAATGCTGGCATAAATTTCAGCAAACTGTGTGAATCCCTGTGAGGCCCTGCTACCTACACCAGCAGACACCAGTGATCTGACCACTTTTCCCATCTTCCAGCCTGAGGAAGGACATGCCTCAACTTGGACAGTTGCCACAGTCTAGAGTGTATGGGCAGAGGGGACTTTGAAACAGGTTGAGGCACCCCACAAACACACAAGCCATAAAGCTAGGTGGAGGAGACTCTGACTTGTTAGATTTCAGGACTGCAGGTCCTGAAAAGAAACCACTCATTCAAAAATTCAGAGTGATTTTTTACTCTGTTTTTAAAAATCATTTTCTACTTATTTCCTTTCTCTTTTTAACTTTTTCCTTCTTATTTTTCTGTTCTTTTAAATTTTGTTCTCTGATTTTCCTTCTTTCCACTTTTTGTTACTTGTTCTTTTCTGTTACTTTTACTAATGTGATTAATTTTCTTTTATTCCACAATAGAATTCTCTAGCTGACTTTTCTCTCTTGCTTCTAATCTTCCATTGACTAATTTTTCAAATATTACTTCACCTATTCTCCAGTTTCCTACCATGTGTATTTTGCTCATATAACCACTAAGCTTTATGAATCTTTAAGTAGCTAACTCTGTGGTGTTACTGTGAAATACTGTCCATTGTTAGTGAAGGTATCATTGTTGCATTTAATAGGTATTTACTGCATGTCAGTATGAAGCTTGTCCTAATGCTTCTACCATAACCCAGATCTCTCCTCCATCATGAAGGGCACATTACTGGTTCTAAGCGTATGCCAGGAGCCAGTCTGTCTTGTTGGCATTTGTTGCTGATTTTATTGCTATTGTTGGGCTTTCCCTGTAGGCCAATGCTTAGGTTGCTTTTGTGTCATCAAGAACACCGTGGGCTATTCCCAGAGACCTGGATGCTGTGTCAAATACAAGCAGCCTCTCCTCCCAAATGAGCAGATGTGGTTGGATCTTGGGACAGAGCAAAGGCCTATAGATAGCCACACCCAGAGTGCATCATTGGAAAACAGACACTAACTAAAGAGCTCTCCATGTGAGCAACAATCTTTATTACATTCACCCTGAAAACCTCTGCACAACGACACAATAGGAACAGGAGAAGACAAGGCAACAATGCCTCCCCAAACCCCCCAAAACTCCAATGCTGACCCATGAAGCACTGAAGGGGAGGGAATCCAAAACCACACAGCCAAACTGTTTGAAAGGATAACAGAGGAGATTTAAAAAAGATTAATAAGATGTTTGGCAAGCTCACACAAGATACAACCATATAGATAATGGACTTAATAAACACAGCAAGCAGCATATAGCACACACTAATAAAAAAAACTGAGCTAAATAAAATGATTCAAAGCATGAAGTTTAACAAAGCATTAGAGTACATTAAAAAGGCACCAAACAGAAATTTAGGAGATTGAAAATTTAAAATATGGACATCAGAACCAACAAATGTGAGGACAGAGTGTCAGAATTAAATGATAGAGCTGATGCTGGTGGTGATTTAGCAATACCTTACAGACAAATGGATCCCACAACTCATAAGCTGAGATTAACAAGAATTAGTGCAAATCAGATGGCAGCACAAAATGGCATAAAAAAACCTCATTTACAGAAATAGTGGAAAACTTTCCAAATACGGGTAAAGAATTTAATATACAGATAAGTGAAGCCTATAGAACCCCAAATAACCATGATCAGAAAAGAATCTCTCCATGGCACGTTATAAACAAAATCTCTGAATGACTGAGTCTTAGAAGCTGCTAGAGAGAAGCAGCGACTCACTTCAAATGTAAGTTCATTAGAACTGTAGCTAACTTCGCAACACAAACCTTAAAGACCAGGAAGCTTGGAGCTTTAAAAGAAAACAATTTCCAACCCAAACGGATAGATCCTGAAAAATTAACTTTGAAAGTTGATGGAAAAATAAGATATGCTCATGACAAAGAGCACCAAAAGAAATTCATGACCACCAAACCACACTCCAAGAAATTCTTAAGGGTATCCTGGAAGGAGACAATGGAGCCAATAATGATGAAAGGTCTAATGGAGTGACCACACCAAACAGGCTGAGTAGTGAAGCAGAAGAGAAAAAGGGAATCAGCAATGGAGAATAACGCAGTGAGAGAAGAAATTAGTACATTCCACCAACACCTCTCAATAGAAATGGACTCTTTCCCAAGCAAAAGACTCATACCAGCAGAATGGGTCAGGAAATGAAATATGCTGCATCCATGGAACACATTCAACTCAAAAAGAAATTCATAGTTTAAATGCCAAAGGATGGAGAACAACATTTCATGCAATGGGAACCCCAAAACAAGCAGAAGTAGCTCTCCTACTTTCAAAAGAAGTATGGACTTCAAATCAAAACTGATCAGAAGAGGCAAAGAAAGTCAGTACATACTAGTTAAGGGATCAATTCAACAGGAATCAATAACAATTATTAACATATATACACCAAACAATACTGTTGGACACAAAAGATCAGAAAAATACACAGTTATAGTGCAGGATCTCATATACCCCACTGTCACAAATAGACAATCAATGAGACAAAAAATCAACAAAGAAATATTAGAATTAAACAAAACCTTCAAATAAATGGACTTAATAGTTTATACAGAGAGTTCCACCCAACAACAATGGAGTACACACTCTTAGCAGCACATGGACTCTCTCCAAAATAGACCACCACTGGCCAACAAAGCAGGCTTCAGGAGGTACAAAAAGTCAAAATTATCCCCTGTAAATTGTCAGATCATAGCACAATGAAACTAGAAATTAATAGCAGAAGAAACCACAAAAATTATTCAAATCTTAAAAATTAAACAATACACTATTAAGTCATCAGTGGGTCATGGAAGAAATAAAAAAAAAAGTTAAACAGTTCCTAAACTCAGTGATAATCCAGTATCTGTACATACCAGAACTTCTGAGCCACAAAGAAAGCAGTTCTGCCATCCAAGTACTAACCAGGCCTGACCCTGCTTAGCTTCCGAGATCAGACGAGATCGGGCGCGTTCAGGGTGGCATGGCTGTAGACAAAGAAAGCAGTTCTAAGAGGGAAATTTATAGCTGTGAATTGCCACATCAGAAAACAGAAGGTGTCCAAAAAAATAATCTGGTGGTACACCTTAAGTTTCTAGAAAAACAAGAACAGTCTGAATCCAAAGATAGTACAAGGAAGAAATATATAAAGATCAGAACAGACACTAATGAAATTGAGAGTAAAAATAATACCAAAAAAATCAATGAATTAAAGAATTGGTTCTTTGAAAGAATGAACAAAAGAGGCAAATCCTTAGTTAACCTTATTAAAAAAAGGAAAGAAAAGATACAAATCAATGCAATTAGAGATGAAAAAGGTGAAATCAAAACAGACACTGCTGAAATCTAGATTATTAGCAACTACTTAAAAAAAAACCTGGACTCCAATCAATCAGAAAATTCAGAAGAAATAGACAGATACCTAGGTGCATGTAAATTACCAAAACTGAACCAAGAGATTCAGCTCTCTGACCTATAACAAAGGGGACAGAATATTTGGAGGACAGATGGCCTCTGTCATAAATGGTGCTGGAAAACCTGGCCATCACGTGCAGAAGACTGACTGAGGCCCATATCTCTCACCATGTACTAAGCTAAAATCAAAGTGGATTAAAGTTCTAAATGTTCAAACATTACTTAATTTATTTTTTTATTCTGTATAATTTCTTATGAAAATTTTTTAACATATTAGTCATGGTCTGTCCCATACACATTCCCATACTATTTTCTTTAGTGCTTATTTGCTTGTGTTTGTTTGTGTTATACAGCCACAAAGCCAGTTTTAACACCTGCCTCTTCTATAGCTGATTTTTTCTAATTTTATTACTATTTTAAATAAGAGTTACGACCATGCTTTTCATTGCCTACTTTCCAAACAAATCCTAAGTTGTTTACTAAAGAAAAGTTAAAACACAAACAATGTGCTGGATAAAATAGGTAAAACTCCTGAAGAGACAGATATAGATAAGAACTTTCAGAACAGAACCTGAATTGCACAAGAAATCAACACATGGGATTGGATCAAGTTAAAAAGCTTCTGCACAGCAAAGGAAGCCACAGAGCAAAGAGACGACTTTGACAATGGGGCAATACTTTTGCCTAATATTCCTCAGACATAGGGTTAATATTTACACTTTATAAAGAATGCAAAAAAGTAGACCCCCAAATGACAACCCAATCAAAACAACCGGGCAACTGAAAAGAACAGGCACTTCCCAGAAGTAGTGCAGTGGCCAACAATACGTACAGGAAAAAATGTTCATACGTCAGAAAAATGCAAATTAAAACAGCACTGGGATTCCATCTCACTCTAGAAAGAATGGTCCTTATCACGACTCAACCTAACTGCTGTCGAGGCGTCATGGAAAACATACATCATGGTGGAAATGTAAACTACTACAACTACTTATACAAATCAGTACATAGATTCTTCAGAAAACTAAAATATGAAATTCCAGTTGACCTAGCTATTTCCCTTCTAGATACCTTCCCCAAAAAGTTAAAGATATTGCATGAGAGTGATACAGGCATACCCATATTAATAGCAGCTCACAGTGGCTAAATCTTGGAAGTAACTTACATCTAGTAACAGATGAATGAACAAAGAAAATTCAGTATTTATACACAGTGGAGTACTACTCTGCCATAAAAGAGATCAACTTGAATTATTTGGGGGATGCATCTTCAGACTACCATGGGCAGGGATAAATCATGCCCATGCTTAAATATCATGTTATTTCTCTTATACAGGAAAAGTAAAGTTTAAATAAACAGCAGGTAATAAAGATAAACAATATGAAATAGGGATCTTCTGCAAAAGGAAGGGAACCAAGAGATGGAGGGAGAGGGGAGGAGGGGAGAGGAAGGGGTGAAACAGAATTGAGATGAACCACAGCCACGCACCAACCCCTAAGGATGTGACCATGTTCTGCAGACACAGACTCAGAAAATAAGAAGTGAATGGGAAAGAGATTGCTCTTCTAACAAGGAAATACTTTATAAATTAGTAAAGCAAAATGTGCATAGGGCTGGTGTGCCGAAGTCTGCAACCGCTGCCAGGAGAAATCAGTAGCCAGACGAGGGAGAGACACACTGGGTCCCTGAGGTGGAGCGCAGCTGCTGGTCCTTCCGACACTGGCCCATGGATTCAGTGACTTCAGCAGAAACCCAAGATGAATGTTTCACTGAGATAAAGAGTCTGCTCTTAAAGTTATGTGGAAAGTCACAGGAGACGGAACCGACGGATCTTTAAAAGGAGAAGAAGAGGAAAGCTGGGGGCATCACCCTGTTAATTTCAGACTTGGCAGGCAGCCAGGGTGGGGTCACCAGGCATCCCCTCGCGCTCACAGTCCTGCACAGGGAGACCCCCAACTCCTGTCTGACGTGAAGAGGAGGCGTGGTGGGGAAGACTGTCCTTTCAGTAGATTGTGCTGGAAAAGTTGGACAACAAGTCAGAAAAACCAAACAAATACAACCTTGACCCATTCTTCACATCTTGTATGAACATTAACCCAAGTGAGACCTTAGAGCTAAGCACAGAACACGAAACTATATAACATTGTCATCGGGAACAGGGGCTGCTGGCACCTGGCACCTGGAGGACACAGCCGCTGTGAGCGTCCTACGGGGTGCAGACAGACTCCAGACAGGGCCTTGGCTGGCCTCGGACTGATGTGCTGAAGCTGGAGAGCTCTGCCCTAGAGAACTGCAAGCCCGGGGCAGAGAAACCTGCCCGGCAACACTTGCTGCACCTCTGCGGCTCATCATGAAGACTGGGAAGCCCACAGGTGGCTTACGGCATGCAGATGAAAGTACAAAGCCCAACACACTGCGGACTTGCTACCACGTGTAAAGGGCTAGCGGTGAGCAGCCGCACTGTGGTGGATCTTGAGGACACGCTAGGCCACGGACGCACCTCAGAGGGTCACATGTGGGGAGGTTTCTCACCTGCTACGTCTCAGAAAGACAAGACCCAGCGAAGAGCAGAGTCACACCTGACAGGCACCGGGCAGGGGAGAGAGGCGGGCTCTTCGGGTGGGAGGTCTTCAGTGTTTATCTGTGTTGATGGCCATGTGAATCTGGGTCAGTGTTAGTATCCACAAAACTGTGAATCCCAAATCTGTTTACCTGAGTGTTAGCTTAAAATGTCAATGATTCATTTAAAAACTTGAAACTCCCTTAAACCATGGGAAAGAAATCTGCCACAGACCTGAGCGCCAAAGATTTGGGAGTGTTCAAGGAACCTCAGTGACTCAAAAAGAAAACACAGTAAAATGACAAACACATAACCAAGAGCATCACAGAAGACATGAATGGGAACGTGAGTGGGAAGAGAAAGGCAGAAATAAGACTTGATGTCATTTCCTAACCAGAAAATAAAACTAAGTTGTAATGAGAAACCTACGCATATTCAGTCGATTGCTGAAGGTTAATCTGATGATCAGGAGTAGGAAGGTGTGGAGTAACTGGAATTCTCAAATAATTGTGTCATAAGAATTAGTTGGCAAAAGTCTCTTTGAGAACCTCCGGGCACTCCCTACACCCCTGCTGAATAAATAGCTGAAGTTACTCCTCAAAAAGACATATCTAAGGAGCTGGGCGTGGTGGCTCATGCCTGTACTCCCAGCACTTGGGAGGCTGAGGCAAGAGGATCGTTGCCAGTTTGAGGCCAGCCTGGGCTACTAGTGAGCCCAAGGATAGCGGGAACTGCATAGAGAGATCCTGTCTAAAAACAAAAAAAATTACAGTGGTGACTTTTGCTGGCAAAAGGTGAACTCAGTATAAGAGACACTGAGATACAGCTATCCAGCAGTGGAGCCACCCACATCTGTCTGCATGAGAAGAGGACCCGCTGGAGACCAGGAGGCCAAGCTGTGCAGAGGTGGAGGTGGAGAGGCAGGGAGCACGGAGACCCCTGGATCCCCCACATGTGGAAGGGCAGGACGCTGCCCTCAGAGGATCCTGGCCACACACCCCTTACAGCGAGCCTCTGCTGCCAGGCACCACCTGGCCTGTGGCCGCAGGAACCAGTGCCCTCACCGTGCTCGGGCTGTTATACGAGTGTGAAAAATGTTGGTTCTGCCCTCAGGCCGAGTGCCCTGCTGCAGACATTCCATTCACGTGTCCCTGCAAGCCACGGTGAGGGGACACAGCCTATCACGACTGGACCCGATCCGGGAAACTAGAGAAATACACTTTCGCTTCTCCGGGAGCATGCTGGGTCTTCCCTCCAGTTCTCCCTTCCCCCGTCCCACACTCTCGCTGAAAGATAAGGCACCGGCTGTGTCTTAGCAAACTCTCACTCCACTTATGATCCCACCCTGCACGCACGGTTCTGGACACTCGCCCAGCCCACACGCGCAGCAGGATGTGGGACCTGGTGCTGGGGAAACTGCAGTGTCCACGGCATGAACAAGTGGGGACAGCGCAGGGCCACTTGCTCGCTGGCCAGCTGGCGTGGGCACTGCATGGGGCACGAGTGAGTGAGTGTGAGCAGCGGGCACCGACATGAAGAGAACAGGGCTCCGAGAACAGTCGGTGGAGGAGGAGTGCGGTGCTGAAGACACCGGCTGGGGGTGCGAGGGTGGGCCCGGCGCTCTGTGCACACGCACGCGTGTGAGGAGCTGCTTTACACAGCGCAGGGACAGTGCGGCCTCCTCCCCTGCCTTGGCCTATGACCCATGGCTGGGGTCTGCATCTTCCAGTGTTGTCCAGTTTCTTCTTGAAAATTTGTTTTTAAAATTCTTTGCCAGGCTAAGGGCCCCCAGAAAGAATGAACACTGTACATTTATTTTAAAATGGGTATTAGCGCCTGATTGCAGAACATGAAGGAACCCACCAGTGAGCAGGAAGACAGCACAGCGCTCTCCGAGGGCAGGCCTGCGGAGCAGTGCGTTTCCAAAGCTCTGCACCTCCCTGGGCAGCCAGAAACCGGCTTGGGGGAGGGCGTGGGGGCTGCGATTCAGTGCACATCCGCCACACACGCTCATCACGTGGGCACAGACCTGTTGTCCTCATGCCAGACTCTGCCGCTGGACCGTGGGCCCTGCCTCTTGTCCCCTTCTCCTTTGGCTCTACTTAGTTTTGAAAAAACTTTTTAAATTTTAAAATGAAAACATAATAAGAGTGATGATGCAGAATTTCAAAACAAAATTATAGGAGATTAACAACAGTTAATGTATTGTGTATTATTATCATAAAAGTAGTTGCTCAGATCACAGACATGCATGAAAAGGGCCAAGCAGAGAAAGCACAAGCCTTTCTGATGAACCAGCAGAGATCAATAACACAGTTAGCTACGTGTGTGTGTGTGTGTGTGTGTGTGTGTGTGTGTGCGTGTGTGTGTACACAGAATCTGCCCCTTTCTCACTTCTCTCCCTTCGCCATCCCAGTTCTCATTTGAGCAGTTTCTTTCCCTTTCCCTTTGCAGTATCTATTGCACCTTTTGGATTTCATTTACTGTTTCAGTTTCTTACCCCAGGCAGACAATAACGTGAACCTGATTTACTTCACTTATGAGAATGGTCTCAAGTTGCTTGCATTTACCTATAAAAGACTCCAGTTTATGGTTTGAGTCTTTACGGTGAGTAGTATGCCACTGTATGAAAACACCACTTTTTATCCATTCCACACTGTTGGGCATTTGGATTGTTACCTGTTGGGGTCGTTTCATAAGTGTGACCAACACCCTCAATAATGCCAATTACGAAAGTACTTTTAAAGTCCTTGTTCCTTGACAGCCGTCTTTAACTCTTTAAACACAGAGTACTGCAAACTTTCAAAGCGGGGATCTTGTCCTTGTTGACGCACAACAGGACACGCAATTAATTCCCGTGTTGTTTAGCTTCTTGGGCCAGCTTTTGGTTGGGAGTTAGAGCTGGTGGGGGTCACCCGAGGTTTCGCAGGGCTTGTGTCTTGCAGCGGCAGCAGCGAGGGGGCAGAAGCATACTGGGCAGGTTAAAGCAGCAGAAGTGGCATCCTCAGGAAAACTGGGAGGCCGATCATGCGGTGTCCCATCTGCCTGTCTGCCAAATGTTACAGCATCCTGGCAAAGATGCCAGGTGTGCAAGACAGAGATAGGAGCTGCGGGCTCCTCATGCTGCAGTTTGCCTCTTATCCTCCACAATGAGCGGACCCCCCCTCAGGATACCAAGTGCACTGATCATGAGCGTCCAACAAGAGCTGCACCACACTCTTCTCGGAGGTGACATGGCCCAGCTTCCTAAGAAGGAAAAGCTTCAGACAGAGAACTCCCCATGACCTACCTGATGAAGGGATTTTCCGAAGAAAATGAGGAAGGTGAAGTAGACGTTTGTTGGGGCTATGTTCCACCTCAAGAACACAACAAAGGTAAGTCACCCTGCACAGCAGATGTCTCCACTGTTGAGTCCCTATTCAGGCACCAAGCTGTTGAGGTCTGTGCCTAGATCCACAACGGGTGCACAGTGAAGGCTCAAAGGAATGAGACATGCGGTGCTATCTTTAGGGCTGCAGGAGTAAAATCCTCGGCAGAACTCGTAACTCCGCTAGCCGGTGGCTGATGCTGGGGAGCCCGTATTTAATCAGAACAAGCAAGGAGTTGAGTGGACAATGGAGGAAACCTGAGCCAGATCTTGGGAGGGGTTCAAGAACCCCTCAGAGCAACAGGTGATGCTAATTAAGGAAAACTACCCAGAAGGTCCCCAAGTGGCCTCAGCTGTGGCCGTCTTGCCCCCTGAGGTGTCTCCTCATTCTCAGTTCAACCATGCCCAGGGCATATGTCACAGCCCTGCTTCAACGATTCAGCTTCAATGACTTCAACAGTTTCCAAGATTGAGCTATTACAAATTGTGCTGCTGTAAACATGGGTGCACATATATTGCTGTGGCATGATGTTTTCAGTTCTTCTGGGAAGATACTCAGAAGGGAAATAGCTGGATTGAATGGGACCTCCAATCCTAGTTTTGTGAGGAACCTCCACACTGATCTCCACAGTGGTTGCACCAGTCCACATTCCCACCAACAGTGGTGACAGCATTTGTTGTTGGTTGATTTCTTGATGGCAGCCATTCTTTCAGGAGTGGGGTGAATCTCAGTGTTGTTTTAATTTGCATTTCTGGAACGACCCCTGATGTTTAACACTGTTTCCTGTATTTATTTGCCATTTACATTTCTTCATTCAAGAAGTGCATGTTCATCTCAGATGTCCATTTTTGGATTATGTCTTTGAATTTGGGAGGCCTGATTTTTTTTCAATTATTTATATGTTCTAAATAGAATTCTTTTGTCTGAGGCACAGTTGGCTAAAACTTTTTCCCATTTTGTGGGTTTTCTTTTCATTCTAATGGTGATTTCTTGATGTATGAAAATTTCTAATAAGACGAGATCCCAGTTGTTGATTCTTTGAAGTACTTTCCATGCAGTTTGCATTTTGTTCATGAACTCTTTGCCTACTCCTATGTCTTCAAGATTTCTATCTACCTCTGTCTTAGTGTTTCTGTTTTAATATTTAGATATTTGATCCATTTTGACTTTGGTTTAGTGCATGGTGATAGACATGTCTAGTTTAGTGTTCATCACATGGGAAGTCAATTTTCCAATGCCATTTGTTAGAGATGCGGTCTTTCTTCCGCTGAACATGTTTGGCGCTTTGTCAAAGATAAGGTGATTGAGTGTGTCTGGAGTTGTGTCTGCATCTTCTATTCTGTTCCACTGATCTTCAGGTCTGTTTTTTTTTTTTTTCCCAGTACCATGCTGATTTTATTACAGTAGTTTTGTAGTACAATTTCAAGTCTGGGATTATGATACCTCCTGCCTTGTCTTTGTTGTCCAGGATTGCCTTTGCTATTCTAGATCTCTTCTTGTTCCAGATGAATTTTAGGAATGTTTTCTCTAGATCTGCGAGGTATGTTAATGATATTTTGATCAGGATTGCATTAAATCTGTATACCAATTTTGGGAGAATGGCCATTTTCACAGTGTTGGTTCTTCCTACCCATGAGCAAGGGATATCTTTTCATTTTCTGATATCCTCTTCAACCTTCTTTTTCAGAGTACTGTAGTTTTTAATGTAGACATCTTATATCCTTTGTTAGATTGATTCCTAAATATGTCAGTTTTTTTGAATGCTACTCTGAAAGGTGTTGTTTTCCTAATTTTGCTATCAGTGAATTTGTTCTTTGTGTACAGGAATGTATTATTTTTGAGTGTTGAGTTTATATCCAGCTACACTGCTAGATTTGTTTAACTCCAGTAGTCTTTTGGTAGAGTTTTTGAGGTCTTCTATGTAGAATATTATGTCATCTTCAAATAATGAGAAATCATCTTCTTCCTTTCCTATCCTGATTCCTTTCACTTCTCTCTCTTGTCTAACTGCTCTGGCTCATGTTTCCAGAACCGTATTGAATAGGAGTGGTGACCGTGGACATCTACTTAGCCTTTAGAGAGTTGTGCTCTGAGTGCTTTCGCCAGGCACAGGAGAGCTGCATGTGCACCCCTTCTGAGCCCAGTGGGGTGAATGTGTGTTGCCTGAGGCAGAATGAGTCCACATGCTGACCCAGATGGAGGACAGGAGAGTGGGAGGAGGAAGAGGGACAGGAAGGACAGGAAGTGGGCATCCACAGCTGGTTTCTAAAAGCACGAGTCCCTGAGGGAGTGTGTGGAGGGAGTGTTTCCCCTCTTGCCTCAGCTGCTGAGCTACTGGGAAAAAAGATGGACCTGGACTGGATCTGGTGGACATTTCCTGCTGCCTTTCTGTAAGCAGTGGCATCACGGGGGTTTCCCAGCCCACCTCCAGGGAGCTGTCCTGGGGATGTCATCCAAGAAGGGAGTGGAGTGTGCAGAGGACTGTGGGGGTCACTCCAGACTCCACGCAGTACACAGGGCACCATGGGACATTGCAGGTATTCACACCAGTAAGCCTTGGAGACTACAAAATCAGCCCCGTGCTGGGGAAGAGTGCCAGAGAAACACCGGAGCCCAAGGCCAGCTGTACCCCTTTCTGCCATCGCCTGGGCTCCTCCCCTGCATGACCAGGTCTGGGCCCTCCCACCTGTGAATTGAGACCACTGAGCCCCACCCTGTGAGGACACCTCACTGTTCAGACTACGCCCATCCACAGCTCCCCAGACGGACAGTGGTGACAGCCCCGTGAGCCCAGCAGAGCCCTGAGAGTCAGTGGCTTCCCCAGGCCCAGGAGTAGCCCTGGTGGCAGCCAGCAGGGAGGTTACTTGTGCCAAAGTGTGCACTCGGGAATAAGTTACTGGTCACCTGCTGCACACCAGGAACCATCTCATGGAGGGGCCTTAGGTGCCCAGTGACTCACAGTTTCAGCATGAGGGCTGCCATCTACATCTCATCTGGCCTGGGGCGGTGGTTGTGGTCTCTCCTGTGATGGCGATGAGGGCAGCACCTCCTGGAAGCCGTACCTCCAGGTGAAGCCCGGGTAGGGAGGAGGATTGAGTTTGAGGACCCAGAGGCCACATCAACAGGCGCGGGTCTGCCTGTTCCCACCACGCACGGTGAGAGGAGCTCCGCAGAGAAAGCATTACTTTCTCTCTGTGGCAAAACAGGGACAGCGTGGAAGTGGGCGCTCCTGCTGACCTAGGTGTGTCTCAGTGCTCACTAAGCTGAGGTGTTTAAAGACCCCGCCACGTGGGCCTGCCAGGAGAGGAAAATGAGTTCGCCTCCCTGAAGAAGCTCTCGGCGACCCTGGAGCCCGCTGGGTCTATGGCACATGCTGCCCGTGAGTTGTGTCCCAGGGACCCGGGCTCGGCCCTGGCCCTCTGTGAGGGTGACACAGGGATGGGTCTCTACCCTGGGTGTTCAGTTCCTGAAGGTCACAGGGATCTGGCCAAGCGCATGGCCCTCAGCAGTCTCACCGACCCTCTACCCCATCCAAAGACCACACTGCGTTCCCGCCTGGACCTGGCAGCCCGGCTGGTCTCACCTTGATGGTTCCTGTCATCTCCAGTGTGCAGGCCTGACCCAACCTGCTCACCTCCTCTCTTCTGTGGCTCCTCCAGGTCCTCACCTATGGCAAAGGAGGTAGAGGTGAGGGCTGGGACCCAGGCAGCTCCAACATTCCTCTCCGTCTCCACCCCAGCTCCATGTCACCCAAGTCTGTGTCTTTCACCCTCACAGCTGTGTGGAAGCCACGCTTTTCAGTTAGCCAGAGCCCAGGGCGTGGGAGCAGAAAGTTCCAGCATGAGACTCATCACACAGTTGTCAGCACACACTCCTGAAGCAGCTGCCCTCTGGCTGTTGGCCCAGGGAGTTATTTATAATCCAACAACAATTCAAAGGGCTTCTGGAAGGGCTGATTGCACAGCAGATTGGCTCTTGCTAATGCTCAGCCCTGTTCATTCTGGAACTCTCCATGTGGAGCCATTCCCTCTGCACAGAACTGGCCAGTGAGCAGCTACTGCCCTATTTTTTTATCCAGCACTGGGGCCCCCAGGTCCAGCACAGTGGCTAGGGCACAGAAGTGTCCACAAACATTTATCAAACGATAATGACATAAAAAAGTAAGCATGCTTCTCACGTGTGACTGTCCCCACACAGGCAAGGCTTGCCATGCCTCTGTGTAAATGGGGTGTGTTGACCAATGGGTGTCTTGCAGAGAAATGGTTAACAGACTTCTAGAATCCCACGAGCGGCCCAGAGTTGGTCCTGACTTTTGAGAAAACAGCTGTGTGTCAAACATGCTGCCATGAGTTTCAGCTGTTAATCTGAATACCTTAACTAGATTAGATTAATCGAGGCCTAGCAGAGTGGTAGTGCCTACCTCTGTATGTTTGGGTGGGTCATGGAGACAAGGCCTTGGGGTCTATATCTGGCCCCCGAACCGTTCCTCCCTGGTACTGTTCCCCTGATCTGCTTCCTGGCTGCCATGAACTAAGCATCTCTGCTCCCCGGCCCTTCTGCCAGATAGCCATGGACTGAACCCACTAAAACCATGAACCAAATTACACCTCTCTTAGGTGTGAGTTTTGGGGATTATGTTGCAACCAAGGAAATTGAGAGACACAGCCACATTTACTTGTTTGTTTATTCACATGATGTCTCATATCTTAGAAGACTTGAAGTATCTTGCCAAGCACAGAGAAAATAGGACTAAATTTATGCATGTAAGGAAAGCCATGTTGCAAATGTCAGCTTCAAGAAATTGGTTCCTGAGACAGAAGACTGTTCACAGGATAAGAAGCTGTTCAGGATGACTTGGGCATCGTTTGTTTCATGGTGCACATTGGGAGCTGAGCAGCATGCTAAGAGGTAGAGGGGCAGCAGCTTCCAAGTGTCGAAGTCCCCATCTTTTCCCCAGAGATGGGATCCACAGCTCCTAGAATGTGTCCTCTCCCTGGGTGCACAGGGTGGCTGGAGAGAGGGATGCTTTCTGGGAGCCAACTTGTCCCATACCTTGGGGCACACCAGGTGAGGGAGGAACTGGTCCCATAAGAATCCTCAGCGCAGACTGCTAGTTTCCTGAGGCTCTTCATAAAGTAACCCAGATTGGGGTAGGGCAGGACTGAAATACAGAACGCCCTGTCATGGCACAGAGACGAGAGCCTAGAGCATGGTGCAGGCTTAATGCTTTCTATTTCTCCAGCTCTGGTCCTCCAGAAGTCCCTTGGCTTGTGGCTATGTCACTCCTTCTCTGTCTGTCTCACTCCTGTATCTTTATCATATTGAATTCGCTGTCAATCCAGCACCATTTCAGCCTGATGATCTCTGCCATGGGCTTGTTTCTACACAAGTCCACACTCACAAGTACTGGGAGTTAGGACCTCAGTGCACCATCTGGGGACTGGGGACACAATTCAGTCCCTAGCACAAAATAACAATTGAAAGCTCAAAGCCATGTGCCCTCTTGTGTGGCTCCTCCTCCTCCGGGCTGGCAGCGCCAGTAGTTCTCTGACCCTGGGTGATGCTGGTACAGAGAACCAGTGGTGTGTTTTGTGTCATGATCACCAGGAGGCTGGGAAGGTGAAGGCAAGAGGAGCGCAGGACTGGTCGGGGCTCTGCCTCAGCTCATCGACAAGTGAGCTCCAAACCCCAAGACACAGAGCTGAAGTGCAAACCGAAACCACAGAAATGGCCCTGGGACCCAGGCCTCCTTCACTTTGCAAGGACTGCTGTGTTCTGGAAAAGTTGACCCACATCCATTGTTGGATCCTCTGCCTGAAATCTACCATCAGTCAGTACTCAGCGGGCTGACCTGCCTCAGTCCCTCCCTCCCCACCTGGCCTGGACATAGACAGGCTGTCTCACACTGGTGCACTGTGTTTACTTCCACTGCTGCTGGTGCCTTGCTTGTGTTGTGTACCCTGGGGTGAGGGCCTGGCTCCTCCTGGGCGGCAAGGCATCGCTGTTGGAGGAGCGTGATTCGTAGCAGTCTCTCCATGCTGAGCAGAGTCAGGCCAAGTGGTAAGATCCCTCCATGTCACACCCCGGTCTCACGCCCTCTGCCCTGAGCCTGGTGAGTACCTCCCAGGCACCTCATTTTCCTGAGACACACAATCTTTAAAGGACTGCTCACTACTAGGAGTGTTGACAGAGTCTCTGAATCAGGAGGTTGCTTTTGTGATTTTATGGTAAATAACAGAGCAGTATCTGGAGACAGGAGAGTAACACTGTCCACTGGCTTCCTGGGTCCTCCCGCCAGGCCTCCTTCCCGCATCGCTTTTGCTCTCAGTCTGTCGCTGTCCTCTGGCTCCCATGCAGCCACCTCAGTCGGTCTGGACACGGAGGAGGACACTTGCAGTCTCAATTATGCTGAGGCCAGGGCTACAGGGTGCTTTCCAGGCAAGGTGAACAGGAGAACACAGCTGCGGAGAACCCTTCCTCTTAGTTGCAGGACTCCCAGAGGCAGCGGTTCACAAAAGCCTCCTTTGGTCTTCAACCTGCAGCCCAGGCTGGGAGCCCCCCACCCTCAGCGCAGAAACTTTCTGCATGTTTGTGAAATCCCATGATGTCAGAGTGACCTCCCGCGAGACTATTTCCATTTCAAAATGAACATTTTTATCCAGGCATCTGACTGCAGGACAGGAGGAGGGCACCCAGCAGCCACCACCACTCCAAAGCCTCCCCGCAAGTTGCTGGGTGCTTTTTGTGTAATTCTATCCTGCTGTTTCTCTGTTTTAACGACTTTCCTGGTAGCTCCCCTGGTATTTTTCTTGGTTAATAGTGTCCTTTGCATCTTGTTTCCCAGAACTTGGGGTGGGGGGAGGGTGCCCAGAGCTGTGCTTGTGTCCCATCTTCCCTAAGCTCCTGCCAGGGACTGCTGGGCAGGAGAAGGCTGGCTGGCAGCGTTGATTGCCGGTTCTGCCTCCTTGACTTGAGGACAGTTGAGTTCTTGGCAGCTTGCCGTCCCCAGCACCCAGCCCTCGGTCAGCTGTGTCCTTCTGTACAAGGACGTGCTGTTTGCCAAAATACCTTGGCCACCACTGACCTCAAAGGAACTCATGCAGGGACAGCAGAGGACAGCAGGACAGGTGGCGTCCCCTGCTCTGCACACCCTTATGTAAGGAAGCTGGTTACACATCTGGCTAAATTCCAGATGTGTGGTGGGTGCCTCTGGACCTGCGCTGTCTCTGCCTGGACCCTTTGTCCTGTGGAGGCACAGCAGGCTGCAATGGCGAGGTCCAGGGCAGCAATCTGTGTGGTCTTTCCATTGTCCAGCAGCCCAGGAATGGCTCCAGCCTCAGTGTTAGCCCAGGACACCCACACAGTGCAGAGCACTGGCCGATTGGGTTAGGAGGAAGTAAACATTTTCCCCCAGACCTCACAATGGCCCGAACAAGGGAGCCTCAGGCTTTCTCTGCTTGATATTTGGAGCAAAACTTGGAGAAGGGAGCTGGGAACTTGGTCTTGGCTATAAATGCTGTAAAAGCTTTAGATCCTAGCACTAGGGGTACAGATTGGATTGTGTACCTCCCAGGACAGATCAATTCCTAACACCCAGCACCTCTGAATGTGCAACCTTATTTGAAACTGCAGATAAGATAAGGTAAAGTGAAAGGAAGCTGGGCTGAGCTGGGGGCTTTTGTCCATGTGAAGGTGTCTTATGGATGGGAAAGGGCTCCTGCCTTTGCTCAGGCTTTTCCACTCACAGGAAGACCAGTTCCTCCTGATTTCCAGGGCTCCACAGCTCCTGGCTTGACTCAGCTGCTACCAGTGTAGGACCTGTGTTCCCTCTCCTTGGACAAGGTCGGAATGCGCCTCTGCCTGGACATCCTGACCAGAACTATCCTGAAGGAGCAGCGCCCGAGTTCAGCCTGTCTCATGCACACGATAGCGTGAGTCTCTAACATGCTGTTCACATTGAAGAACGAGAAGAAAGAGAAAATTCCACGTATCAGTCACAGAGGAAGCCTGGAGGTCTGCAGAGAGAAAGCAAATGGCTTCTTCTTGGCAGGTCTTCCTGGAGGACACGGAGCAGGTGGCTCCCACTGCACTGCACTGGAGTTTAAGTGTCAGTGTCCCCCGAAGCCTCACACTTAGGTGGGGCTTTGGGAGGTGACTGGATCCTGGATTCAGAGTTGATTGCTATTAGAAGGCGGAGCCCGGTCAGGTGAGTCAGTCACTAAGGCTTGGCACTGAAGGTTCCTCTCTTACCTGGTTTCCTGTCTGCCAGGCCATGAGCAGTTCTTCCTCTGTCACGTCCCCCTGCCATGCTGCCCTGCCTTCCAGCCAACTGACATGGACTGAAACCTCCACAAACTGTGAACCAAAATAAGCCCCTTCTTCCTTCCATTATGAGTATCATGTCAGGGATTTTGTCTTGGCAACGAGAAAGTAGCTAAGACACCTGGTAACTAAATCTTGTCTCCTCAATCAGGGGCTCTCCAGGCTGTGGGTACCGAGCTGTGTGGCGACTTCCATGCTTTCCACGCTGAGGCTGGAAAAACCAAACTGCCTGTGAGTTCTTGGGGCTCCCAACCATGACTGCACTGCATACCCTATTGTGTGCAGTGCGGATAAGGTGGCTTCCCTGACCCAGGACAGTCTAAGATGCCAGCGAACACCTGATACTTCCAACAGTGCCTAAGCTTTTGTGCACTGTGATTTCCCAAACAGAAACATTGATGAAGACATCTGATCTATTAATTAGGTGCATTAAGGATTAATCACAACAGCTCACAGTCTGTGGACTGTGAGGAAATAATAAAATAGGACATTTATAGCAGTATACTGTCGTGAAGTTATGTGAATGTGGTTTCTCTCGCTCCTGATGGAAGCTCACCTTTTCATGTGAAGCAGGTGCTCTGCGGTCCCGCCCTTGTGCATCCCATCAGACAGCCCCCTGCCTGCTGGCTGAGGCATTTTGGGAAAAATAAGAGTCACTCGAACACCACCACTGTGAAACCACAGCAGGCCCGCGATGGTCAGTCTGGTCATGGAGTGCCAAGCAGGCTGGTGATGCCTCTGGGGTGGACATGCTGGACACAGACTTGAGTCACATCTGGCAGGATCAATCGAGACTGTCATGCAATTCAGTTTAAAAAGTGGGAATTGTTTCTTCCTAGGATTTTCCATCTAGTAATTCTGGCCCACAGTTGACTCAGGATAACGGGGACCATGGAGAGAAAACATCACATATGCAGGATCCCCGGTAGCTGGAAGGAAATGTCAGACTCTCCCAGGAGCACAGTCCCCGGCAGGACCGGGGCTCTCCTCCCAGAACCTCTGTGTCACCCAGGCCTCCTTCAAGGCAGCCGTGTCCCCCCTGGCAATGGTGCTGCTAACCTCATAGAGGCAGGGGACAGACAGCAAGGGACCATGTGAGGGAAGGGCTCTGCCCTGAACACTGCCTCCCTGTCTCTGCACACCTGCCTAGCCAGCCTTCAGAAGCTACCCCAATCTAAGAGAGCAAGAGAGAGGTGGACGGGGCTCTAAGAGGCAAAACCGAGGCGGACTGGGCTCTGTGCCATCTCCCTTCCCTGCTGGCTGCCTGGCCTACTGACCCATCACCCATGTCCACGCCCGTCTTTGCAATCCCCTGGCCCTTCCAGGCTCAGGGAGTTAGTGACATGTGAAATCTAATTAGAGGACAATTTATACATTTGCTGCTTCCCACATTCTACTGGAACAATGATCAGTCCAAGAGCCAAATTGTTGACTGCAGACTGCATTAAAGCTTCCCCGTTTTGGGAATATGTGACTAATTATTGTAATCATCTTCCGTTAATATGCACGCCTGGATCTTTGTGTCGCACAAATATGATAGCAAGCTTGCAGGGAGGAGTCACCACAGACAAAGACAAGCCATTGTGAACATGTTTTATTCCAAGCATAAAAGATCCTCAACTTCTGATACCGTGCCTTGGCCCTGAAATCTGCTGTGCTGTTTTTCCTAGAAAATCTTCAGAAATGGTTCTACCTGAGCAAGTTTCATAACTAGGGTGCTCTGGGCCGAGAAGGCTGCTCCCCTCTTCCTCTTCAAGACTTGGGGTGCTTTTTCTTCCTCTTGGGAGCAGTTTCCACCCATGCTGACCCTGCATACATACTTTTAATAGTAAAAGTTGCTCTGGGCCAGGTGCTTTGCAGGGAATTGGAGCCTCCCATTTGTGAGGAAAACACTCCAAGCCCCACTTTACTGACGGTGACATGCAGCTTGGGAACACACAGCCTGAAGAAGGCAGCTGCAGAGCTACTCAGCCCATGTCTCTGGTCACCCTGTCTTCATCCTGTTCCCACAGCCTGTGGGGGGCCAGGGCTGCTGAGCCCCATCTGTGCCCAGCTTCCTGATGCCAGCCTGGCATCAGGCTGTGAGAACTGAGCTTGGGCACCTGGGCACTTGCTTCAAAGGGTAAATATGTTTCATCAAGGTCAGGGTCTTACAATCATTTGTTTGTCAGATATATATATATATATATATATATATATATATATTTTTTTTTTTTTTTTTTTTTTTTTTTGCTGTGAAAGGCTTTATTTTTCTTTTGGTCCAAAATTTGGGAGGGGACTCCAAAGAGGTGAAAAAACTGCCTAGTGGCTGGAGGGAGAGGGTCCAGCCAAAGCCCTGATGCAGTGATGCAGGAGCCCCTCAGATACTGCCAGGCTCTGGGGCCTCCTAGTCTTGCTTAAGGGTGAGCCTTTCAAAGAGGTACTTGCCCAGCCCAGCCTGGGGACCATCCAGCCTGTGGAGATCAGTGAGATGGTCACCTATCTTCTTGCTGAGCTTCATTTCCTCATCTAGGAACAGATCCAGGGACTCCTTTTTTTTTTTTTTTATCTCCCACCCAATTTCCAGGTACAAATTTTGGGACCATCTTCTCGACCATCTGCTCCTTCCAGGACCAGCCTACACCGTTTTTTTGTGGGTAGCTCCTTCCCGCTGATCAGCCGTGACCTGTCAGATTCGTCAGAATTATTCCACCGAGGTGGAGGCTGCCGTCAACCGCTTGGTGAACCTGCACTTGCAGGCCTCCTACACCTACCTCTCTCTGGGCTACTATTTCGACCGCGACGATGTGGCTTTGGCAGGCGTGGGCCATTTCTTCCATGAGCTGGCCAAGGAGAAACGTGAGGGTGCCGAGGATCTCCTGAAAATGCAAAACCAGCGCCGCGGCCGCACACTCTTCCAGGACGTGCAGAAGCCTTCTGAGGATGAGTGGGGTACGACCCTGGATGCTATGGAAGTGGCCCTGACCCTGGAGAAAAGCCTGAACCAAGCTCTTCTGGATCTTCATGCCTTGGGCTCTGCCAAGACAGACCCCCATGTCTGTGATTTTCTGCAGACATAATTTTTAAAATAATTCTTAAGTACAGTGTCTAGAGCCACGTTTCTCTAGTAAAAAAACCACTTGCTTTTTGTCTACTCTGATCACAAAGTGGCAAGCCACTCTGGGGGCAGTGTCCTGGTGTGTGGCCCTGCTGGGCAGGGTATGGGCTTGCTCCCTACTGGTCTCCCACTCCGGGCACCCAGTGACCACAGCTCGGCTGTGCAAGCAGAAAGCTCGGGAAGGCCCGAGGGTGAGGAGCGGGTCTGGTCGGGACTGTCCTGCTTCTCAGGCCGGGTCCTTCTCTTCCAGAGAGGCCAGAGGCTTGGGCTGCTTTCTGCTGTCTACTGCAGTGACTGGCTCCACTGGGTCACACTTGTGGCCAAGGTCACAGCCTCTGGAGCAGGGGAAGGGGAGGAGGGGAGGGCTACAGGGCAGGCAGGAGAGCTTCACACACAGAGGCTGTGAAACACGTGGACCCCACAAGGCTGATCATCTTTCTTTTTGTTTTTTTGTGTTTTTTTTTTTTTTTTTTTTGGTACTGGGAAGTGAACTTATGACCTCATGCTTGCCAGGCAGGTGCTGTGCCACTGAGCCATATGCCCGGACCCCAACCATTATATCTACATCTTCCTCACCCATGTGCTACAAGCAGAGAGTCTGTCTTCAGGAAAGCACAGGTTCAAATCTGCCCTGCTTGTGTGACAATCAGACACAGTCGGGAGGGGACTCTGCATGGGCTTCTGGACACCCAGTGTCATCCACTCCCAATCTAACAGCCAAAGGTACTGCTGTGCTCACAGCCAGGCGTAGGAGATGGCAAATGTGCTGACCCAGCAGGCTCTGCCCTGCCCTCTGCTCCACCTGGATGGCACCTCTGCCTCGATCCGGGGAAGATGTGTGGGACAGGTGCAAAGATGAGCCAGGTGGGGCTGGCAGTGTGAGCAGGAAGAAGACTGTTTGGTCCATGTCAGCATTGGAGATGGGCTAAGATGGAAGTTCTTAAAAAATGAGGAGGGAAAGGAAAAATCAACTGGAAAGGAGGAGGAGACAGAGGTAGAGGGGAAGGAACAGGGTGAGGAGGTGCGGGAAGAGAAGCACATGGGAATGGCTGATGAGCTGTGGGAGCTGTCCATTTTCAGCTGCACCTCTGGCCTCTGTCTGTGAGCTTGGTACACCATCGATGTCCTTAAGTGTGGGAGTACAGCGGTCCTGCTGTTGGAGGAGTTACCAGATTCAGGGTCCTGCGGAATTTCACAGGACCCTGGTGTCCTAAACAGATCACTGGCGAAGACATGGGAAAAAGATGGCAAGGTTTTCATTTATTAAAGGCAGGAAAAGTTGTGTGCCCTGCAGAGTGACATGGGCTACTGAGAGAGTTCACAGTGGCCCTGAGGTTAGTGCTGGTGGTTGGTGGAATCTTTTTACCTCTCTCTGCTCCTCCTGACAGCACGTCTAGGCCATCCTATCAAAGACCTGCTTGGTTTTGCACCAGGAGAGTTAAGATCACACTTTTTGATTGGCCCCAGGGGCAGAGCTGGTAACTGCTGTGCACATGGGTCCTGGCAGGCCACACCCACTTGGCCAGCTGGTTTGCCCTGCCCTAACCTCCTACCTTGGGTTGTGTGCTTAATAGCATTCCAAGTTCTAAACTTCTCTGACTCAAACTTAATAATAAGTAATAGAAATGGGAACAGTAACACAAACAATAAGGAAATGTCCCTGGAGTTTTATGCATGCCCCTTTTTCACTTCTCAGAATAGTTGTCTCTTATTTAGTACTGTGAATCTTCATAAACACGGATGGTCCGCTTAACTGTCTTCTTGTTTTCCTGAAATGAGTTTCCATTGGCCAGTAGTGTGAGTGTCCACATACAGCTTGAATTTCCTAAACTCTGTCACACTCTTGGTGCAGCAGCTTCTCCACAGGTCTGTGATGTGCAGACCCAGTCCTGGAGGGTCCTGGCAGCCATTCCCATCCACCCTGCACTCATGACCATGGGAGTGTGGCCACTGCTGCGTCTGCGGTCCAGGAGGAGAGGAAAAAGTTCAGCAATCCAGCCCAGAGCCAAAGCAAAGGGAGGTGTGGAATTAACCCTGGGCCCCAGGTCCTGGTGGAGCTGTGTTCAGGGGCCCTGGCTTCATATAGGACAGGGTCCTCCCCCTATAACTTCGCAGCCCCAGAACAGCTGTGACAGGGCAGGGGTGCCCTGGCAGCACCTCAGGAAGGACAACTGCCCCCGACTTCGGCACTATCCAGCCTTGAAAATTAAGTTAAAACTTATGCTGATGATCTCAGGAGGCTGGGAGATCCGGGAAGCTGCGGCCCCAGCCCGGAGACTGGACTAGGCCCGGCTGAGAAGAAGCACAGTGGTTTCCTTAGGAAACTGAGGCCACCCCACCCCACCCTACGGCACTGCTGTCTTTTGTTGTATGCAACTCAGCTCTGATTTGCTCTAATTTCCCTTCTCTCTGTCTCCCCCATTCACATCTCTTACTAATTGGAAGGTCTGTAAAAGGAAGTTCTCTTTGGCAGCTTCTCCCCTGGTCATTTTGTTTTTTCTTTCTTTCTTTCTTTCTTTCTTTCTTTCTTTCTTTCTTTCTTTCATTCTTTCTTTTTTCCTTTTAATAAAAGGAGTTTTCATTAATTCAAATGAGAGTTAAACTTTTCTCTAAAAAAATACCCACATACACACACTGTTGCACAAACTGATTTTTAAAATAATATTTTTTAAGACAAAGAAGGGCTTTCTAAACAAACATTACTGGTAATTGAAATACCTTGTAGTATAAATGCAGATGTCTTCTAAATCATTTTTTGGAAAATAAAATTATAGTGTTAATTAGCAAATGAAACCAAGGCGTCCAGGGAGGTTGTTTTCCAAATATGCCTGAAATCTGTCAGAATCTGTGTTCCCAGAGCAAAGCAGACTTGGGTCCGAGCTCCCCATCACTATCAGTTTCCAGACAAAGGTTATCTGTGCGTTATATTCAATATAGAATTTTCAAATTTTGAAACATTTTATTATTACTGTAATGGCTATTGCCGTTTCTAACAGACACCCTGTCAGAAGGCTTAAAAAATGTATGCTTTGGTTCAAGCAAGGAGAAAAAAAAACAAAGGTCAAAACTTTTAAAATGTCACTTCTTCTGCAGTTTTGCATAGAAAATACGGCAGAGCAGCGGGAGGCCTCCTGCCCATAGAAAGGCGGCGGGAAGGAATGTCTCCTGCCGCTGAGCTTCCACTCTCCCCGCAGCTGCGGGCTGCGCAGAAAAGCACTGTGGGAACCCATTGTTGCCCAGCTGGGTAATAGTTTTCTTATTTTACAGTCAGCAACCGAGGGGGGGTGGGGTGTCTTTCGTAAAGCGCCTGAAGAAAATGTCTCCTGCAAATAGATCGCCTTCCTCCTCCCGGAGAAGCTGGATCTGTACACAGCGCGCAGCGCCGGACCCAGCAGTGTAATTAAGCATCACAAACAAAAGCGACCCGAACCAGCAAGGCCGAGTCACCGCGCTTCTCACCAGACCTGGGGCCGGGCGTCTCCAGTCTGTGTACTTGGGAACACGGCGGTGTCTTTCACCTCCCCTCACCAATTATCGCTACCCTTTCACTTTACTTGAAGGTCACCTGCCATAGGGTTGAAGGAGTCGAGACTAAATTTTTAATTCCAGTGCTGGAATACGGTGGGAGCCTTCGGCTGCCCAGCAGGTCCCTGCTCGGGCTTGGCCGGAGTTGCTCAGTGGAGACTCAGAGCAGGGCAGGGCGAGAGCATGGCCTGGACCTCAGACCTCAGACCTCAGACCTCAGACTTGTTTTGTTTGGAATTGTGACTGGTCCACGGGTTTTGGTTGCCATGGAAACTGGCTTTCAAAGGTGAAGAGTTCCAACCCTTCACCTTTTCCAGGCAGGAATTTCCACCCTGGAGGCTGGGGCAGGGCATTCCCTCCAGCCCAGATAAGACAGCTTTCCAGCACTAGGTCCCCATGGTGGGACAGGTGCCCCCATTTTGCAAAGCCCAATCATCTCCCCATCAGGTGTCTGAAGACTCAGGGCACTGTTGGGTGTGGAGACTGAGGTGGTCATGCAGGGCAGAAGGGGCGCATGTGAGGTGCCCCTCCCCTGGACTCTCAGGTACGGAAGCCAGCAGTGGACAGTCCAGGTGCGTGACCAGGAGCAACTTTGCAGGGCAGAGCCAAGCTGTGGGTACCTGGTGCCGAACTTGCCCAGTGTGGACTGTGCAGAAAGATAAAAGTACTGCACAAATGAGACCCAGTATTTGCTTTTTTGAACCAGGTGCTGCTCGTGGAAGGGATAAAGCCACTTTTGGAGCCATTGAATGCTGGCTCCTCCATGTAGGGACAGGGACAAAGTTGTTGGGATTGGCCTGGAGGGTGCGGGCCTGATCCTGGTGCAAGTGCTGTCTGTTCCTGGACTGGCTGTATGATGGTAGCACAGTATCCATTAGGAAAGGTCCTGAGGGTGGACCAGCAGCCTGGGCAGCAGCAGGGGCCTCAAGAGAGGGAAGCTAATAGGCCAGAAGATGCGGAGCAGGAGTGGCCACCCAGGGCAGAAGGAATGGGCTTGTCATCAGCGCACACAGAGAGGTGGCCACGTTCAACACTGACTTCCAGGCAGCTGACCCTGTAGGCTAACACGTCCCCATTGACCCTGACCTAGGTTGGCACGGTCCCCAAGGATGGTGTGAAAAAAGGCCTGTTGTTTCCAGGGAGTCACATGGCAGCAGGCAGGTGCCAGCCTCAGGCCAGTAGGCTACAGGAAAGGACACAGGGCATTGCAGAGGAATTGGCCAGGCTGGAGCCTGAATCAGCCCCTGGGCTCGAAGTATTGGGCAGAAGACCCCTGGCCATCCAGAGGTGGGTAGAGGGACGCAGCACCCCACAAATAGAACTGCTGCACCCTACCCTGTCCCAGACAGAGGGACAGAGATACACTGTGAGACAGACAAAATGATTCTCACCACTGAAAGAAACAAAGGATTCTGCAGAAAATCAGCGCCCTGTTTCATTCTGTCCATTTTA